CTCCCAGCCCAAGACCTCCAGGCCAGTGCTGGTGCCCAGGGTGGTGAGGAGTGCTACCCCACCCTGTGTTGACATTTGCCCTTACCCGTAGGGCCTCAGCAGCAGGGGTGAGGGAATGTGGCCCAGCTAGCCTATGAGCCTCTCTGGTCACTTCCCTGGGCAGGAGCAGGACAGGTGTGGGAGACCCTCGTGTGGAGTGCAGCTTCAGCTCAGCCTTCCTGTGGCCCAGGTCTGGGAGCCATGTGAGCAGCCTATGCTCGAGGCTTCGTGGGGTGCTTACCTCACTGTTGGCCTCAGTGCTGATCTTAGCCCTCAGCCCCCACTCAGGAAGGTCGAACCACCACCTCCATTTACAAATGGAGAATCTGAGGCCCAGAGAGGGGATGCCACTTGCTCGGGGAGATGGCTGAGTTGGGTCTAAACGTGCACTCAGCCCTGGAGGGGCTGCCCTGTGCTCCAGCTCAGAGGCGGAGTCCTCCTCTCTTGCTCCCACATCCCTCAGAGTTGGTTGGCAGCAACATTTGCCTCCTTCCTGCTTTTTAAGAGCGGCATCCTCAGAGATGAGCCACCAGCTCCAGAGAGGCACGCTGAGAGACGAGGGTGCCAGCTGAGCCCCAGAAATCTCTGGACCACAGCAGGGGGGCAGCCGCCTTTGATGAAGTCCTGCGTCCACGGCCTTAGCAGCCTCTGCCAAGCCAGGGTCAAGTTCACTGTCAGGGCAGCATGGGCTCTGGCCACCCGGCGCACATGGCTGGGTTTCAGGGCTGGGTGTCCTCTGCAGTGACCCCAGGGACATAAATAACGCCCAGCAGACTTTGAGGCTCGACTTCAAAAACACTAATGGGTTTTTGTTGCAAAAAAACATGTTGGCCACAAACTGCTCTTGTCCCTCTCAGAGACCCTGGATGCTGACCCCACAGGGAGAGAGAGCGGGGAGGGAGAGTCAGAAAATGGCAGACACAGAAAGCGGGGGGAGAATAGAGAGAGAGGGGGGAGAGATAGGAGAGGAAGGGAGGGAGAAGGGGAGAAGAGAGAGAGGGAGACAGAGACAGACAGACAAGAGAGAGACAGAGACCCTGAGACTTTTCAGCCTGGTCTCCTCCCTCTGGACATTCCCTTCCCGCCACTCCCTTGGTGTGGTGCTGTCCCAGGGCCCTGACCCATCAGGACACCAACTTTCAAGGCCACCTGTGGCTCAGAGCACACAGCCCTTCCCTGTCCACTGGGGCTCTCTTGAAGGCATTTGGGGCTTTTCTTTGGACTTGTCACTCTGCCATCCCTGAGCTCTTGGCCCCCTGGAGCCAGCATGGGCACCTCTGTCTGGATTACCTGTGGGGTGAACAGTGGACAAGAGGCTTTTGTGGAGGTTGGGTGGGGGGCTTCTCTGGGGACACTTCTGCTGACGGTGGGGGACGAGCCTCACCCAAGCTCTTCACACCTCCAAAGTCAGTCTAGGACCCCAGACCTGCAGAACCAGAACCTGTACCTGGGAAAGACCCAGGGATCTCGCATATATCCTGCCCCAAGAAGAGGCTGGCCAGGCCAGGGCCGGACCTGTCACTCTATCAACCATGTGTCCTGCCTGTCCTAGCCATGCACCACCTCCCCACTGCTGGGGCTCAGGCTGATGTCCAAACCCCTCCCACCCCGGAGGCCTCCTCCAGAGCAGCATCTCAGCTAGTGGAGTGGGTGGTTACACAATGTCTCTTAATCAGATGTGCACAAGCCTCAGCCCCAGGACCTGTGAATGTGCTGTTATTTGGAAACAGAGTCTTTGCAGATATGATCAAGCTAAGATAGTCACATGGGCTTAGTGGGGGCCCTAAGGAGAATGACTGTCCTTATAAGAAGAAGACACTCAAGACGCAACAGAGGAGGGGGCATTGTGACGAAGAAGACAGAGACAGGAGGGATGCAGCCTCCAGAGGAACCACAGCCCTTGACTGTGAATTCTGGACCTCCAGAACTGCAGGAGAAGAAACTTATGCTGTTCTAGCTGTCCATCTGTGGGCTTTCATTATGGTGCCGCAGGAGACACACACAGCTGTATCTTGTCCCTAGCAGCCACCCCCACTGCCTCCTTGGCCAGATCTACCTCCCGGCACGTGCGGCTGTCACAAGCCACACAGGTGTCTGGAATAATAACCCTGCCCAGGCAGGAAAGCAAGCAGAGGCCTCCTGTCAGTGTGCGCGCATGGCCACTGTACCTAGAAGCCCCACAGCATGACACAGCCGCTAGTGTTCCAAGGGGAACACAGCCAGGTCACACCTGTGTGTGACCCCTGCAAGGCCACCACAGCCACAGAGGCTGGGCTGGCAGGCAGCTCCGGAGGTGGCTGATGTTCCACCTGGGGGTCATCTTTTCTCCTCCACATCTTTTTTCCCCTCTGCCTCCCTGGCCAGCCTTTGAAGCAGGGCTTCCTCCATGGGGTGTGATAGGGACCGTCAGGGACATGTCTGGGGACATATTTGCTTTCTACCATGAGGGCATGGCAGTTAGCCAGGCAGGGGCTAGGGTGCCGTTAAATATCAAGTGTCAATAGTGCTGAGGTTGAGAAACCAGCTTCACAGCCCAATGAGTCTCAGTGCGCGGGGGTGTGGGGGTGTGGGGGGTGGTCATTTAACGTTTGAGGATCTGATTGATTCTGTGGACTTATTCCATGTACCTAATCTGGGAGTTTTGTTTCAACTTGGGTGAGACTGTGCAACTGGGCTCTCTGGAAGGTTCTTGTTTTTCCAAAACTGCAAACCCTTTGGCTCCATGTAATCCGAGGCACCCTGGGGGACAATTCAGAGCCGCTCTCGGCCCTGAAACAGATCGGGCTGCAGCCGTCTCTGCTAATCTGTCCAACGTGTGCCCAGACAGCCCTTTCCCAGTCCTGGGGCTGTCACCTCTAGGAGGGCAGGGAAGGCAGGCAGTGGAGTAGTTGTTGGCTGAGTGGGTTGCAGAGGAAAGATCTGGGGTCTCTGGGGGGCTCTTGTAAAACACTGGTGATGACTTGAGCCTCTGGAAAGGAGGCAGGAGCAACCTAGCTTCAGCCACTCTGAACCTGAACTGTCTTGCCTTCAGCAAATCACATCTTCCTTCTTTCCTTTTTTTTTTTTTTCCTCCAGTACCGGGACTTGAACCCAGGGCCTCTTATGTGTTAGGCAAGTGCTCTACCATTGAGCTATACCCCAGTCCTTTAATTTTGAAACAGGATCTCACTAAGTTGTCCAGGCTGGTCTTGAACCCTCCTGCCTCAGCCTCCTGAGTAGCTGGAATTACAGTCATTATATTTTCATTTTTAGGAGTCAAATCAACCTTATTTATTTCCAGAGGCAAATTATCCATGAAATTCTGGGGTTAGGTGATCAAGGATTTTTATGTATGGCATTTAATGGGACTTGGAGAGGATCCTCTCCTCACTCTCCTATGCTGATATACCACATAATAATGTACTAACATCAGCCAGTAAGAATGTGCCATGTGCCAGACTCTGCATCAAGCACTTTGCAATGACAACCTGGTGTTGTAAACATTACCGCTGCTTTTATCTCACACATGAGGAGACTGAGGCCTGGCAGGTCAACAAGGACAGGTAGAGATCTGAGGTCTAGGGCAGGCTGTTCTGAATTAGCAGCCTCTGGAGGCTGCTGTCTAGCCTGAGAGTTAAAAGTTGTGGTCAGGGAAGAATGACATGGACAGAGAGCAAATCCCTCGGGAAATAGACAAGGCACAGAGTGCTCAAACCGCTGGCTCTCCCCGCCTCAGCTCCTGGGGAGGGCCCTGATGGAGGCCGTGTGTCCCTCCGGTTATAAAATGACATGCTGAAATTGACTCTCAATAGTAGCCCTATTGTTCCAAAAGCTGCAGGGCGGGCAGGGCGGAACAATGAGAAAAGTCAGCAAGAATCAGAGACCCAGAGGGACCAGCAAATACCTTCCTGCTGCTGTCCCCAAAGCTGTCTTCAAATCTTTGCTTCCCAATTATCCAAACTTTCCAAGGAACTTCCCAGGACTACCTCTTTGAGGAACTCCCACGCCTGTGGCAGCCATCCCTGGGGAAGGTGAGCAGGGTCCCGAGGAGAGAGGAGTGCTGAGCAGGAACCCTGGACCCTCAGGCTTAAGGTCACACGGGGTCAAGGTCAAAAGAGGTTCCGCTCTGGCTGCAGAGACTGAAGGCTTCTTAGCAAGGAACTGAAAGTATTCATTATTTAAGCACACCGTGATTTCAAACTCATGCCAACTTTTCTTTCAAATATTCGCAGTTGATGCAACAGCCTCCTAAGTTAACCTACTGAGGACTTTTCCTGTGCGCTGGAGACTTTTGCTGGTTCTCGATTAGTCTGCTAAGTGACAGCTCTGTAGAGCAGGGGCCTTTCTGTCCATTCAGGTACAGAAGGACGCCGAGGACCGAGAGGTGAAGGCCACGGCCTGGGCACCCTCAGCCATCTGTTGATTAGTCAAAGACAGCTCTTGCTAAAGTCATCCTCCATACTGCTGTGACCTCAGCCACCACAGCAGCCGGGACCCAGAGGCAAGGAGACCCTCGCTTCTCTCCAGAACAGTTGTGAGCAAGACTCTTAAGCTTTGCTGGGGAGGAGGCAGCTGCAGAAAGCATCACAGACTCAGGAGTTCGGAGCAAAGACCCCCAGACCTATTTTGTTTTACAGATTGGAAGGGCCAAGGTCATCCAGGAAAACCCCAGGACAGCCTGCCCTCTGTCTCTGATGGGGCGAGTCTTCCTGGGGCAGGAACGGAGCGAGGCAGGAAGCGCTCTGACCCTGAAGGTCATGGCCACCCAGGTCAGCCCTACCCCGAGCAGATATGGCCAGAGGAGGGTTGGTTTGGGGCTCCCCAAAGCTGCTTGGAAACCCTTTCTGCCCCACCTGCCATCCATCCGACCCTTCCCAAGGAACAGACAAAGTTAAAAGAAAAAGTAGACCCCCAGCTCATGAGCCCCTAGCCCCACACTGCGCCCACCCCCCACCGCAAGCCCGGGAGAAGTGGATAGTTACATCCTGGTCGCGCTCCAGCTCCAGGCCCGCCTCCAGGAGATTGCCCTCGTACTCCTCCCTGCGGAACTGCTTGTCGTCCTCGTAGTAGTCCATGGGGGGCTCGGGGGAGCCCGCCTCCATCTGGACCCCCTTCCCAGGCAGGGGCTGGTCCTGCTTGGCACCTCGAGCCCCAAGGGCAGCGTCATTGTGCAGGACCCTCCTGGGTAGGGCTCTGCCCCCCGAAGGCCTCTTGTGATGGTACACCAGGATATAGTCCACCTTGCGCTTGCCGTCCCTGAAGTACAGGCCATACTTGCACTTGGCGTCGGGGTCCACAGACAAGGAGTTGAGCAACTGTGGAGGACGAGAGAAGAGATCAGGTTGTTCATGAGGGGCTGTGGGCTGCTCCATACTCTCACTCATTCATTCAACAAACATAGCCCACCCCCCCACCAAACCCCCACATAGCCATGGGTTCCAAATCCACTGGTTTGGAACCCGTAGTTTCAAACAACTGGGGACAGAAAACATTCAGAAAAGCCCTGTGTCTGTGCTGAACATGGACAGATCTTTTTCTTGCGCAAACAACGCGATATGACAACTCTGAACATAGCATTTCCATTGTATTAGGTATTGTAAGTTGTCTAGAGATGATTTACAGTGCACAGGAGGATTTGAATAGATACTATGCAAATAGTACACTGTCTTACAGAAGGGGTCTCAGCATCCACAGATTTGGTATATGGAGGGGGTCCCAGAGCCAGTCCCTTGTGGATAGTAAAGGACAGCTATACTCAGTATATGCCTCCTATGAGTCAGGCATGGTCCTAGGGTCTGAGCTCAAAGAAGACAGCCCTGCCTTCACTGACCTGATGTTCTAGAAGGTGGTGTTTTGCTGCTAACCATCCACAAGAATGCCAAGTCACCCAGCAGTCACCCAGCAGGCCTTCTCATCCCCAGAGCCAGAGCAAGCTAAACGAGGGAACATACCTGTTGCTTGCACAATCTACCCTGCAAAACGAACTCTGCAGGCAGAACTTGTCACACACATGGACCTGGCCTTGCCCAGAGCAGAGCCAGGCTCAAGTATCTGCCAGTGCAAGCCTCAACCTCTGAGCAACCTCCAGGGAACATCATGTCAAGGTGGCCACGGGGTCACTGCCCAGCTGTGTGGCCAGAGGTGTGGCTCTCACTCAAGTCTGGGTTCTCCTAAAATCAGGTCCCCACTGAAGAACTGAAGAGCAAATAGTTTATAGGGGCGAGACCTCAAGCATCTATAGGATCGGGAGGGAGGCTGAAAGGTCACTGCTGTGGGCAGCTGGCTCCATCCTGGTGGGGACCTCAGAAGGACCTGGAGGAGCTCGCCCAGGGCTGGTACCTGGAGGTTGCGGAAGCTGCGTGGTTTCCCGGCTGCTCTGAGTCTCCTTGGCCTCACTGCCCTTGCACTTCCACCTGTCTCCCACCTTTTCTGGATGCCTTTGTGCAAAGACTTCCACATGGCCCTCACCCGAGCCAGGAGGAGCAGGGAGCCGGCTTCGTGAACAAGGACCGTTTGCAGGTGCCCTGGGGTTGAGCAGGCAAGGGGATGAGCAGGGCTCGGGCAGAATCTGTCCTGCCTTAGTTTCCTTCTTTACCTGAAGGAATCCAAGGACCTGAATGAGATTTGGAAGTGGAGTGCAGGGATTTAAAAAGCCAAGAGTCCACACAATCACTATGTGGTACAGCTGCTGCTGAAGGTGAACTCTAATTGCTAGGCCTCTTGTGGGATTTTGCTGGTTGTCAAAAGCAGACAGGTCCATCGGCAAGCTGGGCTTTGGTAGTAGGGAAAAATGAATGAGACCCGGCTGGGATGGAGCCTGAGGAGCCACGCAAGCCATCAGTCCTCACACTGGCCTCAGCCTGGCCTGACTACCTGTCTCCCCCAGGCTCCTGCAGCCAAGTCAGATGTCCCCAGTCCCCGCTCAGCCCTGAGATGCCTCTTCATCTGGGACCAAGGTCCATCTAGGCAGAGCTCCAGGCTGGTGCATGGCTGGTGGCAGGCGTCAAATGCCCAAGGTCAGTGGAAGGGGCTGCCGTGCCTCCCTGCACGTCTGCCAAGCCTCTTCCTTCAGGAGCCTTGCCTGACCGTAAGCTCCTGTGTAAGGTCCAACCCACCCCTCCATGCTGAGCACAGCTCTCCCACAGCTTCCCCTGTGCACAACAGGCCTGGAGGAGGAGGGAGACCCTTCACCAGGATGAGCCTGTCAGGCTCTGTGCCCTACTCTGCAACCCCACCGATCACTGCAGCTTCAGCCCTGGGAAGTCCCGTCTCCCTTTATGCCCCACTGTAGCCCTCAGCCACCCTTTACTCTTTTGTCCCACCCCGACCTGTCCCCATTGCACCCAGGCCCAGGTTGCTCTGGGGCAGGGAGCTGAGAAGGGCCCGAATGTCCCTAAACAGCTCCGGCTCTCCCGACTGCTAGGAGGCTGGCCTTGACCTGGTCTTGACCCAGGCTTTATCTGGACATAGAGCAGCCCAGAAACCCTGGTACATGGTCACCTGGAGACGGAACAGCCAGGGCTGTGCATTTGGTGGTGAGAAGCGGCAGGACGATTCCTGTCTGGAGTGGGGGTAATGGAGGGAGCCTGGGGGGCACATGACCCCCCTTATACATTCAAGGGCTGGGGAGCACGGTGGGAGGGAGACATAAAGTGACACTGCTGTCCGTAGCTCAGCTGCAGGGGAGGGAGGGGAAGAAGGGCTCTGGGGCAGGGCCCCGTGGCCAGGTCTGCCCGCCTTTCCCAGGCGTCAATGGCACGGGCCTGGGATCCTTCCACCTGGTTAGGGAAAAGGGGTTTTATAGCTGGCAGCTCAGCATCTCTGGCCCCAGGATGCTGCCCCCGGAGACAGCACGGCCCACAGCCTGGCAGGGTCTGGTTAGCACCTGAAGCCAGCAGGAGACCAGAACTGGTCCATCACCTTTGATCTGCAGTAACTCAGGGTCCAGCCCTTGGTGACCTCCAGGGGACCTGGACATAATGTGGGGACCGATAACCCTTCTTCCCTCTGCTCTCTGTGACCCAGCCTTCCAGGTACTTATGAGCTGGATCACACCCGTGCGGGCAGGTGCCGGGGGCGGGGGCAGACCTGGGACAAGGTAGGAAAGGGCTGGCTTTCAAGCACAGCAGGAACTGCACCCCAATAAAGGTCTGAGTTCATGAGGACCCGAGTCTCACGACTCTTATCTATAGTCAACAAGATGCGTGTGTGTTCATATAGGGGGACACTGAGGACCAGCAAGGCGAAGAGGTCCTGAGGCTGTGGAGCAGATGGGAGGCTGAGTCCAGGCTCAATCCTGCCTGCACAGCAGGGCACTCCTGTCCTCACACACAGCAACTCGGGTGCTGCTCTTTCTGCACACGAGCACGGCATCTCTCTGAATGCTGCCCCTTGGAGGGGACACCGTCACTGGGTCCATTCGACCTGGAGGAAGCGAAGACTCACATGAGAGAGGCGTGTGTCCCAGCTGCCTACTAGTGGCCCTGACTACCAAATTTCTAACAGCTGGCTTGGGTGCGAAAGGGCTCTGTGAGAGCGTGGGCTCAGTCCTGCTCTGCTGCTTCTGAAGCCAGCAGGGGCAGTGGGTAAGCAGGCTGGGTACACACAGCAGGTAGCACAGCACAGAGGGTCCTCTGGGTGACGGTGGCTGGTTCACAGCAGGCAAGGGCTGGGCTGGGTGGGGCAGCAGGGACCAGTAGGAGTCTGGCCTCTGTCTCTTGCAACTCAGCCGGGGGAGTAGGTGGGGGGATCCTCTGAGTCGCAGGCTTGGTTCTCTAGGACAAAGAGCATGGCTCACACTGCCTCCTGGGCCAGAGGATTAGCTGAGTAGATGACCGCGCTGCTGGGCTCAGCAGCAGGTCCAAAACGTGCCTGGGCCAGGCGCCTGCGGGCCATCTTGTCACCCTGCTTTCTGTCCCCTGACCAAGGGCAGATGCTCCTGTCCTCGGTATCCCAGCAAGGTCAGAGAAATGCAGAGTCACAGTGAGCTGGTGCTGAGGTGCTGCTCACTCCAAAGGCCAACCCTGGAAGATGGGCCATGCATGGACAATGCGGTCAGGTCCAGTAAGGCCAGAAGGGGTACGAGGTGGTCAGACCAAGGGACATGCAGCCTCCAGGAACCAGGGCTCTGTGGCTGGCTGCCACAATCCTGGGCACTCATGGTGCTCAGTGTCCTACACAGGGCTTAGGGACCAGGGTCCCATGATGCTAAGCCAGGGCTGGGGGCAGCTCCTCCCTGCACCTCCACCCAGTCTTCCACAGCCATCCCCATGGCGTCTGTGAGGGAGGGGCACATCCTTTCTCCTTGCTCCCTCCTCTCTGCTGCCAGGGCCCCCTTTGTTATTCAACCTGGTCTTCAGGACCTCAAGGCTCCTGGTCACTCTGGCTGATCGGGCGTCCTGTGCTGGGCTGCCCTGAGCCATATCTTGTAAGGCCTTAACTCCTAGTAGCCCTCACCTGATGCCAAGACTGGGTGTCCACCCAGTACCCAGTAGCAGGAGGTCCCAAGAATGCTCCTGGATGCCAAGGACAAGACTTAATATTGAATAAGGTGGGTAAACAGCCCTTGAAGAAAGGGAAGGAAATTCGGGAGGGTCCTATCCTGGAAGGAGTAGAGAAGATATCCTAGGCTGTTCAAGGTGAATCTGCCCTCTGGGGCTCTCCAGGAATATACCTGCCCTCAGGACCCAAGTTTTGGGAAGGTAGAAACCTCCCCCATCTTCCTAGCACCAGGAGGCAGATGCAGCCCGAGGCCTGACCGAGATGGACATAGTCTGCCTGTGCTCAGAGACCAGCTCTGCCTCCAAGCCAGAGCTCAGCACCTCTGTACTCTGCCTTTCCAAGACCTCCTTCATTTTGTGACTTCTTCCAGAGGGTTTTGGGGTGAATTTTAACTTTAGAGTTTACAACAGGCCCTGGCAGATAGTGCACCCTCAAGAGGAGTTTTACGTCACCAGGGAATGAGGCACACGCGAATAAAGAATCAGAGAAGAGTGGAAGAATAATCCCATGGTCAGAGTGGACTGCAAGTGAAAGGTGTCACAAGGCTAAGTACAGATTTTTAAAGTGACAAAAGGAGTTGGATGGGGCACTGGACCCAGCAGGAGGCAGCACCAAGCACCATATGGGAGTCGCAAGGCCCAGCCCCATGGCAGGGCTGTTGCGTGGTCTTGGGTAAGCTGCTTTGTCTGCTAAGGTTTCCGTTTTATCAGTCTGGACCAAGTCCACCTGAATAAGTGTTAGAGTAGCAACCTAGTGACAGAAAAAGACCCACTCCTAGGCTGGGAGGCCCCATAGCCTGCAGGGCAATTCTGAGCTAGGCAGGAGAGCAAAGGCTGCAGAAGCTGCTGAGGTGCCAGGGGACTCTATAGGGCCCTTGCGTGGAGCCCTGGGTGCTTTACTTGTACAGAACAGGTCAAAAGGGCAAAGATGCAAGCATGATGGGAGGGACGTGGGTTAGACTTTTTACATAACTTCCCGATTCAAAGTTTGCAGAAGACTCAGAATGTTCTCTTTTCTGTGTCCTCACTGGGGGTGGGGAACCTCTCTGTGCCCCTGTTGGGGACGAGGGACTTTTCCTTCCTCCTGTAGGTGGTTGGTCTTGAACATGCAGCTGTGGATGAGTAGATGCTGCGTGCATGAATGAGTGGGAACCTGGGTCTGGGTACCGCAACAGGCAGGGGCCACCAGAGCCAAGGACACAAGCTGAGACGCAGGCTAGTGACTGAGACACGATACCTCCCACACTGAGCCTCAGTTTCCCCTCAGTGGTACAGAGACCTCCATGATTTCAGCACAAGATGCTCATGGGATAAAAGGGACAGGAGCCCTGAGGCGCTCTGAACATCAAGTCCTGGCATTTGGGCGAGAGGAGCTCCTGAAAAGGGCCTTGGCAAGAAAGACAGGAAAACGGCGGAGGAGACGCACTCTCTGAGGTCACATGGGCAGATGCTGGAGGACAGAGGTCCCCTCCAGAGCAGGAGTGTGCTGGCAGCTCTGTTCCAGCACCTCAGACATCGACAGCAGGGCTGACATCTGGCCCAGACCCCGGGAAGGGCCCACGGCATAGACGCTGCTGGAACCCAATGGCTTCATTTCATAGCTCCTCCCTGGAGTCGGAGCTCCAGGAACTGAACACACACATCCCATGAGAAATCACGATCATCCTGAGGCAGTGGTGGTGAAACTTCTGGCATGTGTGCTACACTGGGCTATTTGTTATCAGCGAAAGCTCTAAAAGGTTTGCCATTACTGTCCTAAGGGCTTCTACTATGTTCAAGGCGTAGGAAAGTGGGAGAAATAAGAGACTACTAAACTAACTTTCTGTCTTTTTGTAGTGGAGATTGAATCCAGGGCTTTTTCTCTGAGTGAGAGCCCTATTTTTTATTTTGAGGCAGGGTCTTGCTAAATGGTGCAGGCTGGGCTCAAACTTGCCATCCTCCTGCCTCTGCTTCCCAGAAGTGCTGAAATTACAGGTATGCAATGTCATATCTGGCAAAAGACCTACAAACTTGCTCTTGGTTATAAGATTCTTTGAATTTCAGATCTGAGAGGAACATCAATTTGAAACTTCATTTTTATTTCTCTCCCCCTCATAGTTGGATTAAACCACAAGTACTACAAATCTATTTATGATTATCAGGCATAACTGGTAATCTATAAACAGACTGTTCCCCATGGCAGATAAGCAGGAAGTGCCCTTATCTTAGCAATAGGTAGATACTAGCCAATCAGGTATTTCTGGGGTATCACGGCTCCTTGGAGTACACAAATCCCAGGCCATGGGTGGGCATCAGTTTGAAGGTAGAAACACTCAAAAGTGAGCATGAAGAGAATTTAATGAAATCAACCACATTCGCTTGGCATCTGGATTTTTGAATTCTTTCTTCTTATACCTACCTCAGTCATTTTGATCCTTGAACTTGGCTATGACAGGCAGAGGGGCAGGCAGAGGGGCAGGCAGAGGGACCCAGGATAGGAACTACAGCCTGGAGGGGAGCAGCTTATTCTGAGGTCAATGTGCACATTTGAGATACATATCTATATGTCTACCTAGAAATAGGAGGATTTTTTTTTCAGTATAGGGGACTGAATCCAGGGCCTTTGCACCGAGCTATATCCCCAGCCTTTTTATTTATTTATTTATTTAGACAGAGTTTTGCTAAGTTGCTAAATTGCCAGGTTGGGTTTGAACCTGTGATACTCCTGCTTCAGCTTCCCAGAGTGCATATGGCATACGGCACCACGCCCAGCTTGGAATGGGAACTGTTTGCAGCCTACACCCAGGGGTCTCTGTGGTACACAGCCACCTTTGCTGAGTGACTCAGTAATGACTGAGTGACAGCTGATGGACTGAGTGTGCCGGAGATGCTCTGGAAGGCTCCTATCATCCTGCCTGCCCTGTGCCTATGGGCCCCAGGCCCTGGAGCTGCTGCTTCCTGTCATCTGTGGCCATGTCACTGGCAGCATATGGCTGGGTAACCTCTCTTTCCTGCAGTCAGGGCCCTGGCCTACACCCCTACAGACCGACGAAAGAAAGCTCAGTGGAGAAAAAGCTGTGGGCAAAGTAAGAATCAGTGGTCACACCTGGGCTCACCCATATTTTTGCAGACCGTGAAGACCTTGGACATGGGGCTGAGCCACCTCTTTGCAGATGTTGTGGCCTCCCCTGGGGTTGGGGGAGACAGATAGTTGTTGAGTCTGGACAAGCCAACAGGTCCCTGATCCGCAATGCCAGAGCCCGGTGGCTGTTCCTTCAGAGCTCCCTTTCTAATCTTATACCCAAGGGACTGCCAAATCTAAGGGGGTTACTTCCATCTTCCCATTATCTTGTGCTTCTTAACTGGAGTCCCCATTTCTGAGTTCCCCATTATGGGAATAACCAGCTCCTTCTCCCCCACAACGTTCCCACTGTCAGGCAGACTTTCCTTGCCACCTGCCTGTGTCTGGGGCCCTCCCTAGCTGTCTTCCTGGCAGCAAGCCGCCCCTCTGGGCCTCAATTTCCTCCTCCATAATAATAGCTCCTACCCTACACAGTTGTTAGTTAAACAAGCTAAGACACAGTGCTGGCCCAGTGTTATGGAATTGTCCCTTGTCACTGTCCTGGGTAACATTCCATCACCACTCTGTAAGCCTGGAAGGGCAGAGCCCTCCCTGTCTCCTTTGTGGGTGCTGGGGTGGGGGTGGGGAGCACGCCTGGCATACAGCTCTGTCCTAATGCGACCCCTCAGTGCTAAAACCAATCCTGTTCATCCCTGGCTAAGGGAGGCTCCGCCCACACCTGTTCTTCAGCCCCCTGCAGCTCTGCATAAGCTCAATTCCTGGGCAGCCCCCAGCAGAGACCCCAAGGGTGAAAGATCTGACCAAAGCCAGAGGCCGCGGGAGCTCTGCAGCACCCCCACCCCAGCTTTCCAGCCTGAAGGCCAGGGCACCACACCCCATCTTGGAGCAGCCACGAGGGGGCCTGGAAAAGCCTGGGAAGGAGCCTTGCAGGGGGCTTTAGGGGAAGGGGAGGGCTGGGAGGAAAGGTAGGAAGGGGATTCAGTTCTAAGGTCCCAGTACCAGTCCTGGTTTTGAGGGCCTGCACCCCCACCGCACCAGCTACAGTTCTCTCCTCTCCGGACAAACTTTGTCCTTAAGCCAAGCTCCTCATGGGCAAATTCTGTCTCCACTGATCTCTCGACGTGCTGGGTCCGGCCCTCATGCAAGTGGTAGTTATGAAGGACCTTGGGAGAGGGGTCCCCGAATCCTGTGACTGGTTCCACTCCAGAGCCCACCCCCGACCCCCACCGCGACTCACGCGCGTGGGCGGCCGGACACCCGGTCCAGCTCTAAAAGCAATCTCGACCGACCAGCACCCACCACTGCCTGGGCGTTGAGAGTTCCGTCGTGAGTGGCCCTGCGCCCACAGCAGGACGCACGCCCTACCAGGTGGGGTCCGGGGCTAGATCCCTATGGGGTGGCGGCGCGCTGGGGCCTGGCGGGCTGCCTGTCACCCTTTCCCAGTGTGGTCGCCAACGCCCTTGACCCCTCACCCCAGCCGGCTGCCCCACCCGGTAGCCCCGGCCCCGGGCCTGGGAGGGAGGGACCTGCCTGGGACCCAGTAGTGCGCCGTCGCTCGGGAACCGGGACTGGGTGCAGACCAGCGCTGTTTCGCGGGTTGGGCGCCTGCCCCGGGCGTTTGGAGCCCGGGCTGCGCGCGCGCTCGTGGTCCGGTCCCGCGGGCTGTGCCGGGTCGCACGTGCGCGGGTGGGCGCCCAGGGAGGCCACGCCGCCGCCCGATCCCGCCCTTCCGGCGCGGCGCAGGTGCGCGGCCTCCCCGCACTCACCGTGCCCTCGGACGGCAGGTAACCAATGTCTTCGATGGCGCAGATGTTAATGATGTGAACGCTGCGGTCCTCGGCCGGGAGCGTCGAGTACTTCTCGTGGACCCTCATCTTGGCCGCCTGTTCGCTGGGACCGCCGGGCGGCGCGCCCTCCCCATCCACGGCCCCGGCGGCCTCTGTAAGCGGAGATGGCAGCGTTCGCGGCGCGCTCGCTGGGAGCCGGGCCTTCCCGCGCCCTGGCCCCGCAGGGGACGTGGCCGCCTCCCGCTCCGCTCCGCCCGCCCACTGCCCTCGACCCGCCCGGCCAGAACACCGTGCGGGTGCGCTCGACGCTCCCCCGGGGCCGACCGCGCCTCCACCTGGCTGCGAGTCCCGAGGGCGGCCCGCGCGCCTGGTCGGGAACTTGGACGCCGGCCTGCCTCCTTTCCTTAAAGATATAAGCGCACTCCGCCCGCTTATGGCAGGGGCGGCGGCCACGCGGGTCAGATTTTCCGTAGAAATTTAAACACAGGAAGAAAGTATTTCATTCCTGCGGCCCCTCCAAGTTTTATTTTTATCCGGGGTAAGTGCCCCTTAGGGTTTTCGTTGAGGGCGGAAAGGGTTTTTACAGTAGGGGGGAAACTTCCAGTGCCCCCCCACTAAATAAAAAATGGTAGAGCTAGCTAGGATGTGGGGTTCACCTAGGTAAGGGAGAGGAGGTTCTACACTGAAGCCAAGAAGGTTCTTATTGCCCCTTTCCCCTCTACCCCTGGCACACTCCTGCCGGCATCCCCACCTGCTCAGAGTCCCTGGCCACTCCCATCTCTCTGGGGGCCCTGATGTGTTTGTGGCCCTACCTAAGCAGGGAGCGTTTGTACTAGGCGGCCAGGCATGCGCAGTCCCTTCCACAGGGTGGACTGGTACATTATCTCAACAGTCTGCACCAGCAGAACGATGCTTCTTTTACAGAGTGTGCCTGAGGTGGAAAGAATCTGAGGCCCAGAAGCAGTTTCTCGCCCTCCAGGCAGGGTGGTGGCTTTTGCAGAGTTGAGTAAGCTCTACTGTCTCCCAGAGGAAGGGACCATAGCTTTGATCTCTATCATCCCAGGATAGAGTAGGGCCGTGTGCACACAATAGGTATTCCTTGGCAGGTCTTCAAGCCTCCCTCCCTGCAGAAGGAGGAGGAGGCAGGTCTCAGGGGCAGCCAGGCTCAGGCTGAGGCCCCAGGGGCCACACTGGCAACCCCACCCATGGGAGTACAGTCTTCTTTTCCTCTGCCTCCCAACGTCCTGTTAGCTCTTGGTGTGTGTCAAATCTGCCTCCTGCAGGAAGCCATCCTGGATCCCCTGCCCCAAGGATTCACAGGAACCCAACTGCTGTACTTCCTCAATAATTGCTTGTCATATGGCCTTTGAGGAACACTCAGGTTTATAGTAGTTAACTGTAAAGTTGCCGTCTAAGGTCACATGGTCATCACCATGCCATGGTCCCCAGAGTAGAATCAGGAGTGAGCTGGTTGGGGTGGGAGGTATGGGGTGTGTCTGTCTCTAGGTCTGGCTGTGGTGCTTTCTGGCCTCATAGCCCTTCTTGAACCTCCTCAGCCTCATGGACCCCCGTTCTTCTCGAGTGAGCCCTGAACTTGCAGCACAGTTATACAGAGTTGTGTTTGGCCATGGTGGCTGCTGTTCCTACCGTTACCCTTGTCCCACATCACCTCCCCTTTCCTGCTACTGAGGCTGCCCCATTTAGGGACAAGCGGGTGAATTCCTTGAAGGGGGGCACGCAGAAAGGCTGCTTGGCCCGCCAGCTGGCCAAGCCAATGGGCACCCAGTGGCTTAAAGGACCCTTTGTCTGCATCATGGACAGCAAGAACAGGATTGGAGAAATGCCCTGAGCTGTCCACATCCCCGCCCGAAATATCCTCCATGTCCTCTGCCATGCCAGGGAGACTGATCCCTAAGAATTCAAGTTTTTAGGTCTAGGAAGATTACACACACACACACACACACACACACACACACACACACACACAGAGGATTATGTAACTTCATCCTCCTTCCCTTGTTAGTAAGTAACTGACATTGTGTAACCCTAATATGCCATCTTTCCAAATGTATGTTCATGTGGCAGAGAATCTCCTAGAGGGCTCTGAGGTGTCATTTTCAAAAGAGTAAAAATATAGTTGATGAGGGCTGGGGGTGTGGCTCAGTGGTAGAACACTTGCCTAGCATGTTTGAGGGTTCAATGCCAACACTGTTAAAAAAAAAAGGTATGCATGATTGTGTGCACACACATACTTAGTCAATCCTGGATATGTTGATTTTACCAAATGTTTGGGGAGTGACACTAGACTGCTTTGACAAGGCTTGGACTGGCATGATCCACACGGCTTCATTCCCAAGACCCCTGGGGGCTGCAAGGGGGGGAAAGTCTCTTAGATGTGGCAGCTCCCTCCCTCCTTCCCAGACAGGGCTGTGTTTAACCTCTTGTTTCTGTGACTCATGCCTCAACCAGGTTTGATATTTACATGTTGATAGGACAGGTTCTTTGTCCCCTGGCCAGGAAGTTTCCTCTTTTTCATTCCTATCCCTGCCTTCTGCTCCTCCTACCCCACCACCAAGTTGCTAAGTGGACAGTGTGGCGATACTTCTGCAGATGCAACCAAGGAAGGCAGACCGCCCTCTGTACAGTCAGGGCTAGAAAGGACCAGTTCTATCCCTGGAACATCTGTCTTAGGTCTTAAGATTTCAGAGATTAACCAAAAGTAAATTTAGTTCCCCTAAATCAGGAAGGGAGAAGAGCATTCTTCCAAGTTGAGCTGTCTCCCACGTCAGGATGGGTTTCCAGGGTCCCTTTTGTTCTGAGATGAGTCACTCGCCAGCTCACTGCCCCTGTGTCTTCCTGGGCACTGTTCTTGGGCGCTGTCCTCGGAGTCACTGGCTGCTGATAAAATGGCCCTTTCCATAAACTATGGCATTCATCTCACGTTTTCTGCTGTTGGACTCTGTAATTTTCATCCCTAATAACCCAAAGGGACAGATTTTGCCAGCAGGATTAATTTCCTGTGCATGACTTAGTTAATAAAAAAAAAAAGTCAAGGCCAAGATGCCTGCCTAGTGCTGAAGGCAGCTTGATCCTGGTCCAGCCTGGCCCCAAGAGTCACCTGAACTGTCTGGTGGGTTCCCGAGCCAATCCAAGTGAGGTGGAGCCACTATGATAATGAATTCAAGGAGCCTCCAATTGATAAAGAACGTTACGGCAAGCCCATGGCCCAGCTCACCAAGGAGGAAAAATACGACCCGAAGCCCAAGAAAACTCAGCTCATCAAAGCGGCCCCAACATGCTCTGTGTTTGCAGACCCAACATGATGATGAAAGGAGGAAACAAAATACTGGCTAGATCCCTCATAACCTAGGCCTAGAAGCTATGAAAAGGAAGCAGCTCGAGAAGCACCATGCTGCTTCTGCAGAGGAACAGCCAACCATCGAACACAACCCTGACATCATCTTCCACCAAGCACTGAAAAGCTGTGAGCCTGTGACTGGCCTCGAACCCACCCTCAAGGATGGCTGTGTCCACCATGTCCCCGTGCCCCCACCTGACCCACATTGCCTGCTGCTTCCTGGCCACGAAGTGGATGATCACTGAGTGCCAAGAGAATAAGCATAGGCGGACCCTGATGCCAGAGAAGTTGCCACCTGAGCTGCTGCAGCCTTTTCACAATCAGGGCCCCATGATCAAGAGAAAGAGGGACATGCAGGGCACGCACAAGATGGCTGAAGCCAACTGTGCCTTGGCCCACTACAGCTGGGAAAGCAGAGGTGCTGGGAGGAGCGCAAGGCCCCCTGCCCCATGAAAAGTACCTGTGTGTTAAGGGTGTACAGTGGTTCCTTTTTGAGAAAAACAGGGTGTCCATTAACCCTTCCTCACTGGGGCTGAAATTGGCTCTCTGTGCCCTATCTCCTTGTAAGGAGGAAACACTGACTTGGGAATTTCCTCTGAGAAACTTGGGGCCCAGGTTCCTCTTTTCTCAGCTCAAGACAGACCTCTGGATGCAATAGGAAGAAGCTGTGGTACTAGAAGATTTATTAGAAAATCTTCTCCCTGATACAGAAGTATCACTGATTAAAACTCATGGAGGAAAAAAAAAATTCTAAGCCAGGTGTGGTAGTGCACACCTGTAATCCCAGCACTCTGGGAAGTTGAGGCAGAAGGACTGCAAGCGCAAGCCCAGGCTCAGCAATTTAAGAACTTAATGAGATTCGGTCTCAAAATAAATGAAAAAAGGTTGGGGAAATAGCTCAGTGCCAAGGCCTCGGGTTTAATCTCTGGTACCACAAACAAATAAACCAAACAGTCTCGTTTAGTCTAAGTGGTGCATTTTATCTTGAGAAGTTCTGGCCCTCACTGTTGACCCTATTTTGCCAGGTTGCCTTTTAGATTGTTTGAAGCCATGCACTAACGGACACACATACCTCTGCTGACATTTTAGCCGTCCCGAGGGGTACAAAGTGACAAGGGTTCATTCAGGAGATGAGACTGCCTTCTAAGAGGCTTTTCACAGGCAGGCTTCCCAAGAGCGTTTTCATCTCCTCCCTGGGCACTGCCCACACGGAAGGCTTACCTGCCTTGTGGCACACGTTTGTACTCACCTAACCATCTGTGACTCTGAGAGAAGTTGAACAGACCAAACTTTGCAAAGTGAGACAGAAGGAGGTGCTCTGAATGATGGGATACAGGGCCTGGTGATCATGCTCAGGAACCGAAACAAGAATCCAGCTCCCCTGTTAATTGGCTGTGAGGTCTTGGCATACCCATTTCCTCTTTTAAAATGAGACATGTAGTGCCTCACTTTGTGGGAGCTGTGGAACTGAATGGGACCATGCATGTTTTGCCCCTGCTCTGATGCCCCTGGGTTAGAGACTGTTCCAGCAATGATATCTTCCAATAGGGTACTCTAGGGCGCCCTCTGAGCCTCGGCACTGTTGACATTTGTGCTGGGAACATTCTTTGACAAATGACCTGTCCTGTGTACTGTGGTTGTTCAGCCTTCTCCTTGGTGACATTTACCCGCTAGGTACTGGTAGTACCTTCTTCCCCAACCAGTGTCTCTGGAGCTTGTCAGATGTCCCCTGGGGGCAAAGCCCCGCCCCTTGAGAACTGCCCTCAGTGGGCACTCACAGAAGACCTAGGAGGC